TTTTTTTTTTTTTTTTTTTTTTTTTTTTTTTGGGTAATCAAACACCAACTTTTTATTCAACAATATCAAGGTGCAAATTGTAAAATAAAACCAAATCAAAATTTGAAAAACAAAATGAGCTTGTCTCCCGAGGACGTGTGCTACTCACCTACACATTTGCTCGAAAAAACTCTTGGGCCCGGGAAGGAGAAATCTTAGTGTTGGAAAAGCCAAGATTCGCCCCTTCGGTAGAGCGTAAATGGAAACATATTTTACAATAACTAATTTTAAGGTTTTCTTCTAGTATACTATTATTCCTGTGAATTCATTAAAAATATAAATTAAATTCCTGAAAAATAGACAGACAGATGCAGCATGACACGATGGTAATTAATTATAGAAAATCATCATAAATTACTATCACATTCAAACCAACCTCAGATGTTAAATCACAAGCGGCAATCAAAGTTGTTTTGGTTCATGTTCATGACCTACTATACAACAAATTCTGTTCATCATAAAAGGAAAACCAACAAATTAAGATGATTTATTGTTATTTTTTGCCAAACTTTCTGCGATCTGAGCCAGTGACTGTAAATTGCACCTCACAATTGTATCAACAAATGCACAAGTTTCTTCCTTCGTGTTCCCTTGAGGTATATCAACAACGTAGGATTCCACCACCACCGTACCGCTATTTCCAGCACCACCCGCCGTTGCATGGAGAGTAGTGACAGACCGGTAATTGTGCAGTCTATGATCGCCACCCACAACGCTGAAACTCATCACATGTTTCTCATCATCCAAGATTTCGAGCCTCTCAGTACTGGACCCCGCCGGTAAGCCTGACACCACGTGCACCTCCCGGAGCGTCCCCACGTGGCCGTCACCGATCACGTGGCAGCTCTTGAGGAAGTGCTTGTACGCCTGCGGGTTGTCGAACCGGCGGACGACGGACCACACGGTTGCAACCGGCGCATCAATAGTCTGCACCACCGAAGAACAGCACTGGTTGGGCGCCACCGCGTGCGTGTGGTGGTGCAACATGTTGTCTGGGACAAAAATCTCGCTAGATACCGGGATTACCCATGTGGGTGTTGATTGTTTCTGGTGGAAATTCACTGTGGCCGTATGACTAATTGGATTGATTCTAGAAAGCTGAAGAGAAGAAGGCATTTTCTACTATTCTTCTCACTTTCTTGGATCTGTTCTAATGAGAATGAATCGTGAAGATGGGATGTGATGTTATCTATACATACACACATATATATACATAAATTGATATATATATGCAAGTGTGTATATAGATTGAGAAAATGAATAGAAATCTTTGTCTACTTGTAATAGTTTGATGATCTTTCCTCGGAGAAGAAAAAACCTTTTATTACAAAGCTTACGCCTGGGTGGTTGAGGTTGGCGGGGTGCAAGTGGATGGGCAACTTGCATAAAAATATTTGGACGCAGTCATAATTGGAATTGCCCCGAGAAATGCGTTTTAATTACGTGATCTGCCCGGGAGTTTGTAATCCTAGGTTTTGTTTGAATTTAAATGACTGAAATACCCTTGGCAGGGAAGTTAATTACTGCCGACGGGTGAAAATCTTGAATCAGTGGGACATGTTGAGTACGAAGAAGAGATGGTAGAGGAATGGAGAAGGTCCACTAAGATTCAAGATCGATCTAAGGATTTAATTGGTCTGTCTTAGAGGGATTTATGGTTAGCTTGTCAATTCTTACATAGTAATAATTTACTCAAGACATGACTAATAAATACGTGTTGAAATATCTAGTCTCTAAAATTTTAATCATCATTACAGTTTTCATTCATCTCCACTTTAATCGATCCAAACAACTCGTTTTCCACACAGTTACACCTCCTTTTGGTGCCAAGTGGTTCGTGAAAATAGGAAGAGAACAAACGTCTCCGACATTGTGAAAAAGGGGATAACGCGGTAAAAGGGTGGGGAAAGCAAGTGGCTCAAGTGGATTGGGATGTGTGGGTAGCCACGTAGAA